TGATTTAGGGCAACGTTTGATCTATTTTGACACCTATATAACTACCATGAAATCAAGATATACAAAATTTCCATCAATCCAGAAAGTTCCCTTGCACCCTTCTGCAATCAATGTGACCTATGTTCTACCATTATGGTTTACTTTTGCCTATTTTAGAATTGCAATTAAATGAAATCATACAACCTATTTCCTTTAACTCAAAATCAGGTTTTTTCAGATTCACCTACACTGTTACATGTATTAGTAGTACTTCATTTCTTTTTATTGCTGGGAATTATTTCTTTAGGTGGATATAAGGCAATTTATCATTCACTTATTGATGAACATCTGGGTTGTTTCCAGATTTAAGCTATTATGGATTGAATAGCTGTGAACATTGGTATGTAAGTCTGATAGATAAATACCTAGAAGGGGAACTGACTATATGAGAAAATGCCAAATTGTGTTCCAATGTGGTTGTATCATTTTACATTACATTTGCAATGTATGAGAGTTCCAACTATCCTACATAGTATTATAAGTTTTAAAGTGGTATCTTGTTGTGGTTTTAATTTGCATTTCCCCAATGATTAATGCTATTAAGCCTTTTTCATGCTTTTATTGGTCATTCCTATATCTTTGGTGGAGTGTCTGTTCAAATCATTTGTCCATTTTTAATTGCTTTGTCCTATTATTATTATTGAGTTGGAAAGAGTCTTTATTTATTCTGGATACAAGTCCTTTAGGAGATCTATGTACTGTGAATATTTTCTCCCAGTCTGTGCCTTGTCTTTTCCTTTTCTTAATCATGTCCTTCAAAGAGCAGAAGGTTTTAATTTTAATGAAGTCCAATTTATCTTTTTACCCAATTTTTTTTATGGTTCATGCACTTAGTGTCCTAGTTAAAAATTGTTCATTACCCCAGTATTACAACAATTTTACTTTAAGAAAACATGAGAAAACTGTTGTAACATTGGGGTCAATGATTTAGGTTAACAGTTGTCTTTTACATATAAATTTCCTTTGTGATTTCTTCATTGATCCATGGACTAAGTATGTTGTTTAATTGTTTGGACTCTAAATATTTTGAGATTTTACAGATATCTAATATTTATTTAAGTCAAATTTAATTCTGTTGTAGAAAGAGAATATATTCCTTATGGTGTTTATTTTTATCCATTGAGACCTGTTTTACTGGCCCAGCATATGGTCTTGCTGAACATACCATATATACTTGCAAAGAAATATATTCAAATAACAACTGGCCCTCCATAACCAGAGATTCCACATCTGTGGATTCAACCCATCATGAACTGAAAATATTCTTTAAAAAATGTTATGTTGTTGCTGACTTCTAACATGTAGTTACGTCTATGAGGGTTGTGTCTATACTGAACATTTACAGACTTACTTTTCTTGTCATTATTCCCTAAACAATACTGTATAATAACTACTTCCACAGCATTTATATTCTATCAGGTATTATAAGTAATCTGGAGATGATTTAAAGTATACAAAATGATGTGTGTAAATTATATAAAAATACTATTTTATTTTACATAAAGGGCTTGAGCATCTGCAGATTTTGGTATCCATGGAGGACCCTGGAACCAATCCCTGGCAGACACCTAGGGATGACTGTATTATGAGTGCACTATTCTATAAATACCAACTAGGTCAAGCTGGCTGGTAGTATTGTCCAAATTATCTATGTATTTACTCATTGTCTTTGTCTACTTGCTCAGTCAATTGCTGAGAATCATTATCAATAAACGCCTATTAAATTTAAATACACAGAGTAACATTTTGGAAGACAAGCATTCAAACCACAAAGAAAATCAAAATTCTGAACTATGCCACTTAATACAGAACATGTCATCATGTAATGCTAACACAAACTATCGGAAGTGTTGTGGTTATCCTACAAAGTTATATCACCTACCTTAAAAAATTAAAATTAATAAATGAATATGCTCTAGAAAAAAAAGTAGGTGATCATTTAAATCTGTAAAAGTGGTTAGCAAACTATTTTATGTTCATAAGTATTTATTAATAGGTTTAAAATTAATAGCAGAAAGAGAAAATACATAGAAGGTAATGTGTAACTTCCAAAGATCTTTCTTTTTCCTTTTTTCATTTCCAGTGACCTTGGGGTTTTGGGCAGACAGTCAGAGGGCAGGCTGCCAATATCAATTCACACTTAAGCAAAACTTTTGCCAATTAAAACTGAAACACCTGTCTGAATTAACAAAATTGTTCCCATTTTCAACAATGAGAGGAAATTAAAAGCATTACTGAATGTAACTGACTTGGCTCATCTGAAAGGAAATAACGTAGATAACAGCTAATTTTAAATTATCAAGCCGATACGACATAAAGGCTCTCTAATACAGATTGGGTTATTTTTACTATGACTCATTCAGTTTTCCTGAAACGTGCGGATATATCTCAGGAATAGCACTACATAATGACAACTAAAAAAAAATAAAGTACTCCTTTTAAGACAAACTTCTGACACTGCTGAATTAAAACATTTTCCCAACACATCTCACATATATTTCAACATGCTGCACCAACATGAAAACACTGGCAAAAACTTCTCCAAAAAAGAGATTACATTGTAATAAACTTTAGGACAGTTCATTAAAATTGAATGAAATCATTGTATTAAACTTTAGGACAGCTCATTAAAACTGAATGAAATTCAGGACCAATAAAGCCATTCATTTGTTTATTCAATAAATATTTACCAAATGTCCAATAACCATGTCCTATCCCTCTAATGTTTACAAAAGTGTCTGGTGCGAGTATTAAGACTTCTGTTGTACTTGCTCTTCTATCAGCAAAGGAAGACACCTCATAATCTCAGTAGTTCACAACCCCAGCCCCAGGCCGCCAACACTGCTACAGAACAGGTAATGGCTGCCCAGCAAGAAAGGGGATGCTACTTCTTTCCTCTTTGTCCCCTTCTCTTCCACATCTATGGCCAATTCCAAACAGGTCTTATCCACTTAAAAATCCTATTCCTTTAGTCCGGCCGGTGTGGCTCAGCTGGTTGGGCCTCATCCCATGCACCAAAAGGTCGCCAATTCCATTACCTGTCAGGGTACATGCCTGAGTTTCGGGCTCCTGTACTTTAGCCCCAACCTGTATTTCATTCCCTGGAGTTAGGGATTAACAGGACTAAGGAAGAGAATAAATCAGTGAAACCCCCTAGTGTTACAGAAATACCATGTACTGCTTATGAAGAACTTGCACTAAGACTGTTGGCAATAAATTTGGGACTTGTTGGGCCCACATCCCCAGGGGTCTGCCCACCAGGGAAAGCACCAAAGCCTATACCCCTGGAGACCCACCGACACAGGGCAGTCCCAGGGAAGGCAAGCAGCGAGGCTGGGAGGACATAACCTTTACTGGGTAGGATAATCTCCTTCAGTCACTTCCTTGTAGCTTATCAGTAGAGCAGTGACCTTGGAATAGCCCTTATAATGGAACACAGAGATTAACCTAGACAGGATTAAACTCAAGAGAACTAGATTAACAAACGCCCTAACCTTTGGAATTGAATGGATAGGATTAAAATCAACTGGTATAAATACAGATGTAACAGGACAATAAAGACAGAACCTGGCTGGAGAACCTGGCTATGCTGATCATCTGAACACTGCTGTCTCTGTGTCATTCCTTCTTCGCCGACTCCGTCCACACCTTTGGGAACCCCTGGACCTACTGGGGCTGGACCCCAACAGTTATCTTCAGAAGCACCTCACAATTTAGAGGAACAATGGGAAAAGAAATAAAATATTATAATAATAGAGAATCACAAAAGAAGTAGAAAAAGGTTTAAAAGAGAAGAAATATACTCCCACCCCAAGAAAAGCTAAAAAGAAAATTAAATGTTTGAATGGAAATAGAGTATTTTAATGTCTTTTCAGGATAACTATGGATGATACATGTTCCACAATAAACTGCTTATGAGACCAGACCCGAGAGGATGTTGCTACCGACCATCCTCCCCAAGAGAGGCCAGCAGGAACACTTTCTATCATATGCTACATCCTGTTTACCTCAGTCATCAGAAGAAACCCAAGAGTCCTAGTCATCATTTATCAACACTTGTCCCCCTCCAGCTCTCTACTGCCTTACACTGACTCAAGCTCAGTACCGTTCCAGAGCCCCGCATCCTGCCCTGGGCCTCACTTCATGCTGACATGAGGTTCAACAGCATCTTCTCACTGAGACCTTCCCCACAACCTTGTCTAACACTACCATCCAGGTCCCATTTTTATCCCCTTACCCTGCTTTATATTTCTCCTGTGCACTTCTATTAAGTATGTATTTCTCTCTTTGTCTACTGTGTATTTCCCCCACAAGAATGTAAATTGATGTAAACTCCTAGAAGACTGTTCACTGCTGAATCCCTGATGACCAGCACAATACCTAGTACATATCAAGTTTTCAATAGATATTAGCTGCATAAATAGATGGGAAGTGCATAATAATTTTAATGTATCTTTTTAAAAATGTTTGTAACACTTTACTTGTCAAATTCCTGATAGCATATGTAACAAGTAAATAAGGAGATTTTTACATAGTAATCTAAACACAGACATGCTATAATGATAAACACCAAAGATTTCTAGTAAGTGGGAAAATAAAAAGGGCACCCCGAGGACTCAAAGGATTAACATCCAACCAGTTCTCTGTCACTTCATTCATTCATTCAACATTGAGCACCTATTTCAATATTTATTGAGCACCTATTCTGTGTAATGCTCTGGGAACAAAAATGAACAAGAAATATTTGATCACTGCCCTCAAAGCCAAGCAAGCACAAAGAAAAATACTTATGTTTAAATCAGCAGTAAGAAGGTGCAGTTTGGAAACTAAAATGATGAGTTTTTGTTCCCTTAATTTCCTTAAGTGGCAGTGTCCCAAGGTGAGCAATTTGAGGCAAGAATGTACCAGAGGCAAAACAATCTATAAGAAAAGAAAATGGAAAGAAGGAAGACATTACTCACCGATGTAAATGCCAGCAACTCCTCTTCAGTTAACTTATGCACTGGGTTATTCTTTTGCATATTTGTGCTTTAAATTAAAAAAAGATAAATTACTCCTAAAATGCATGTTGCGTCTAATGAAATATAATTTTTGAAAGACAAAGTAAACTTATTTCATATATTTGAAAGCACATATTTTAATATTACTACATTATATACAAATGCAGATAGGAGTTTGCCAAAGATAAGTACAGAAAGTAGTAAAATACTGACAAAATGTGCTTATTGTACTAAATGTCAACCTAATTTATTTTACTAGGAAAAAAAGGAACTGGGGGAACGTCTACAAAATAAGTGGCTTTTAAGTTTCAAAAATGTTAATATCATGAAAGCCAAGCAAAACTGAGCAACTGTTCCAGATTGGCCGAAACTAAGGAGATAACAACTAACTGCAATGCACATCTAGACAGGCTCCCATGCCACAGAGGAGGCTCCTGGGACCCTGGTAAACTTGAATGGAATCTGAGTATTAAAGGAGAGTAAGTATGAATGTTATTTTCCTGATTTTGAGAACTGTATTGTGACAATGTACAAAAGTACGCTTGCTTGCAGGAATCACACACTAAAGTACTCCAGTGATAGAGTATCATGTTTGAAGATGATTTTCTTAAATTCTTTGCAATGCCTTGCCCTGGCAACTTTTTTCCAAATGTGAAATTACTTCAAAATAGAAAAAAATATAAAAATGAAAGAAAAAAACTATTTCCACCACACATAAAGTTCTACAGTATTCAAAAATAAGTCTACCTTTTGAGATATAAATATCCCCAGAGTTCAAAATACTCATTCTCACCTATGCTAAATATTTTATTAGGAGTCTATTTCTAGCTAAAGCTAACCAAAGAAATTCTGCTTATGAAGGGAGGAGAAGGATGAGAATACCAACTCCCAGGAGATTCCTGAGGTCTCTAATCTCTAACCTTTTGATTGGTTACCCAATTATTCTGGATCTTGAGCAGCATTACAAGATTCCCTCTTCACCCAGAACTCTTGGGACCTCCTGAATAAAGATTTCCCCAACACAAGAGAACCCACATGCAAGGTGTTCAATGTAGCCAAGCAGGTCATTAACTTACCAGATTCCAAGGATAACAGCCAGCTCTTCAGCACACAGGTTGGGCATCTGATACTGTTCACTATCTGCTAACTTTATCTCATTTAGAACAGTATCATCATTCAGCTCAAGATTCTGGTGGAATACAAAAGAAAATACTTAGACCAAAACTGTATGCAATTGATTGCTAGGGAAGGATAAAATACCTTGTTTAAAATTATACAATGTCTACCTATGGTTAACAGGCTTTCACTTGAAACACTTATTTGAGGACAACTTACTGTGTAGAAATACAGGACAGGCCACCTATACCTCAGGAATACATTGACAATATCAATAGAAAATAACAGTTATCATTGCTTGAGCCTACTGTACTCTTCCTACTCTGCCTCTACACTATAAACTAAAACATCAACTCCCAACTCTATTGCTCAGCAGGATCTGGAATGGAAAACAGTTTGAAAAGAATAAAATCTGAAGACCTAGAGGACTTGATAGAATACTTGATTTTAAGAATGACTACAAAGCCAAGGCAGTGTGGTACTGGAATAAAGACAGACATATATCTGAATGGAATAGAATAGAGTCTAAAATTTTAGGTCCACATTATATGGTCAGTTGGTTTTCAACAAAGTACACAGGTGATTTAATCAAGGAAAGTCTTTTCAATAAATGACTGGAACAACTGGATATACATTTAGAAGGGAAAAAAAAGACCCTCACCTCTGTCTCATACCCTATACAAAAATTAAACAAAAATTGATCACAGACCTTAAAGTAGAAGCTAACAGTAAAAAACTTCTAAAAGAAATCCTAGGAGCAAAGCTTTGCAACAATGGGGTAGGCAGACATAAAAAAACCTGAACTATCAGAGAAAAACTTAATATGTTGGACATCATCAAATTAAAAACTTTTGCTCTTTGAAAACATTAAGAAAATGAAAAACCAAGCCAAAGACTCAGAGAATATATTCACAAAAGAAATATCTGGCCGAAACCGGTTTGGCTCAGTGGATAGAGCGTCAGCTTGCGGACTGAAAGTCCCAGGTGCGATTCCGGTCAAAGGCATGTACCTGGGTTGCGGGCACATCCCCAGTAGGAGATGTGCAGGAGGCAGCTGATCGATGTTTCTCTCTCATCGATGTTTCTAACTCTCTATCTCTCTCCCTTCCTCTCTGTAAAAAATCAATAAAATATATTAAAAAAAAAAAAGAAATATCTGAAAAGGGGCTTGTGTGTAGAATATGAAGTCTTACAACCAGAAATAAGAAGATAACCCGATATAAAAATGGACAAAAGATTTGTATAAATGCTTCATAAGAGAAGATATACCAATAGCCAACATGCACACAAGAATATCCTGAACAAAGTAGTCAACATGGAAATACTAATTAAAATCAGAATGAACTACTAGTACACACATATTAGAATGGATAAAATTTAAAAGACTGATAATTCTAAATGTCAGCAAAGATCTAGAACTTTCTTAAAATGGTACCACCACAGAAAACAGTTTGCCAATTTTTATTATAAACATGCATTTATTTACCATGTAAACTATCCATTCCGCTCCTAAATAGTTCCCCATGAGAAATGAAAACATATGTCCTCACAAACACATGCATTTAAATGTTAACAGCAATTTTATCTGTAATAGCTCCAAACTGGAAACAATTCAAATGTCTGTCAATAGATAATATTTTTAAATATACATATATCCATCAATGCAATTCTAATCAGCAATAAAAGAAACTAATGATACACACAACCACATGGATAAGTTTCAAAAACAACATGCTAAGCAAGTGACCAAATACAAAAGAGTACATACTGTATGACTCCATATGAAATTCTAGAAAAGCCAAACTATCTGTAGTCATTGAAGGCAGATCAATGATTGTTTAGGGACAGAGGTATGGGGGATTAACTGAAAAGGGCATGATAGAACTTTTAGGGTGGTGAAACACATCTTGACTGTAATGGTTGTGTGTGTGGGAGGGGTGGTGTGTGTACACACACACACACACACACACACACACACACACACACTAATCCGTGACCCTGTGCACGTATTTGTGCACATTGAAAGGAAATTAATTAGAAGGTGGCCAACAGGGTAGGAATGGGCGAAATGAGCTGGACACGCCCTGGAGCCAACCTCCCGCAGTCCCTCCCAGGCCAACAGCATCTGTGGCAGTGCCACAGCTCAAAGGCATTTGTGGGGTCCCTCAGCCTGGCCTGTGGGGATCGGGCCGAAACCCGCTCTCCGACATCCCTCGAAGGGTGCGAGAGGGCACTCTGCAAAGTTGCTGTCGTACAGGGTGTGGAACGCAAATGCAAGTGTGCAGTAAACCAGATTCGGGGCCGACAGTACCCCAGCAACAACATAACCCCCCCCCGAAGGTGGAATCGCGTGGCCCCGCGAGGAATTGGGCTCCCTCCTCTCTGGTTCTGGGGTGCGTCACTCGACACCACCGCTGCCAAGTCACCGCAGCTCGGCAGCTCCTACATTGAAAGTCTGCCTCCCTGGTGGTGACTGCGCATCATACCTACTGGCCATTCGCTTAGCCTTTTATATATACAGAAGATATATTTGTCAAATCCCATCAAACTATACAATTAAAATGGGTTAATTTTTATTATGTCAGTAATATTTCAATATAATTGTTTTTAATTAATTATCAAAAAATAGTAAAATCACAATGTGATACACACACTCAGAAGAATGGCAAAAATTACCAAGCATTGGTAAGGATGTAGAGCAACTGGTGCCTTGAAACTTTGAGGGTGGGAATATAAAATGATAGCATTTTGGAAAACAATTTGGCAGTTTTTCACCAAGTTAAAAATATACTTACCACATAACCTAGTCATTCCATTCCTAGATATTTACCCATGAGAATTAAAAAGATATGTTCACACAAAGACTTACACACAAATCTTCCAAGCAGTTTTATTCCTTATAGCCAAAAACTAGAAACAGCTCAATGGTCCACCAACAGGGGAATGGATAAGCACATTGTGGTATCAACTGAGCAATAAACAGGAGCTAACCACTGCTATCAAAATATCAGTGACTCTCAAACATTATACTAAGTGAAAGAAACCAGACATAAGAGCCATAGTGTCTGATTCTATTTATTTGAAGTTCTAGAAAAACAGCTCTAGTCTGTGACAGAAAACAGATCAGTGGAAGGGAAAGTGATTGCAGGAATATGTGTGGACTTTCTGGCATGATGGAAATGGCTCTATATTTTTATTACGGTGATGGTTACATGTGTCTCTATTTACCAGAACTCACCAAAACTGAACATTTAAAATAGGTATATATTATTTTATGTAAATATTTCTTCAACAAATTTGATTTAAATTGTTTTTCTAATCCTATATAATAAAAGGCTAATATGCAAATAGACCAAACGGCGGAACCAGAACAACCAAACAACCAGTCGTTATGATGTGCGCTGACCACCAGGGAGTGTGTGTGGTACATGGCGGGCGTTGGCCATGGCGGGATGGTGGAGCAGGTGAGTGGGGGGTGCCAGACCAAGGTGGGGTGCCGGTCACTGTCATCCGGGCGAGCCTCTGGTGGTTACTGAAAATTCTTTGCTCCCGCGCCACGGTCCTGCCTGGCACTCGCACCTGCGGTGCCGGCCCCACTCACACCCACTGCTGGCGCTGGAGCCGCTGCTCACACCCACCCGTAGCCAGCACTGGAGCTGCCGCTCGCACCTGCTGCCAGTGCCGGGCACCGGTCCCGATCACTCGACTCCATCAGCAGGTGTGAGCAGCAGCTGCCAGCCCTGATCACCCCTGAGGGCTTCTCCCCCTCCCCCTGCTCCTGAGGGGGCCACTGGGGCAGCAGCCGCCACTCGCACCTGCTGACAGTGCCAGCCCCACTCACACCTGCTGCTGGCGCCGGCCCCAATCACTCAGCGTCGTCAGCGGGTGGGAGCAGGGCCAGTGCCGTCAGTGTGTGGGAGCAGCGGCGGTGGGAGCAGGGCTGCCAGCAGACAGGGGACCGGGGGCCATGGTGGAAGGGGCCGGGCAGGGGCACGGAGGATGGGCCGAGACCCACCCTTGTGCCTACCACAGCCTCTCGGCCCACAGTTCCTTTCAAGGTGCACGAATTCATGCAATGGGCCCCTAGTAATTCAATAAAAGTAGCTAAAACTAGGAAGAGTTTAGGAATTCAGTGGAGCTGGGCAGAACCCCATAGAAAGCTGAAAACTATCTGTGACTAGGTCAACCTCTTAACTGGTAATCTCTTAATTGGTAAACAGTCCTCTGCCCACATCACAGCCCAAAAGAACAGCTTTCCTTGTTTATTCTCAGGTTCATCCTAACTATAGGCCCAGCTCTATCTACAAGATTTCAAGAAACAGCACTGCAACCTTCAAGAACCACTGATGAGAGAAACACAGAAATTGGGCTGCTGCTTAGTTTCCTCGGAAACAATGCCTCTTCCTCAGGACTAGCACCCTTCCAAGGGCAGGCTGGCAGGTGCACAGCACACCCTGGTGGCCATCCATTTTCAACACAGGCCTTTCATAATTTTTAAAAGGGAGCTACATATGTAAGTTTTAAGTTTTCTAAATGCCACATTTAAAAGATTAAGCAAAGAAAAAAAGAAAGACTTATGGACACAGACAACAGTATGATGGTTCAGAGGGAAAGGGAGGTAGGGGCAGTGGAGGAAGGTACAAGGGGGATAAATGGTGATGGAAGGAGACCTGACTTATTGTGTTGGTAAACACAATACAATATACAGATGATGTACGGTAGCATTGTATACCTGAAACCTATATAATTTTATTAACCAGTGTCACCACAATAAATTCAATAAGAAAAGTTTAGCCCAACCAGCGTGGCTCTGTGGTTGAACATCGACCTATGAACCAGGAAGTCATGGTTTAAATCCAGATCAGGGCACATGCCCTGGCTGCACGCTCCATTCCCAGTGGGGGGCTTGCAGGAGGCAGCCAATCAATGATTCTCTCTCATCGATGTTTCTATCTCTCCATCCTTCTCTCTCTCTAAAAATCAATAAAATACATATATACATGTATATGTGTATATATATATACTTTTTAAATATATTAAATAACTCAGGATCCTCCTCACCTTAGTCAAATGTTCCTGAGGAGTCGGGGCTGGACTGAATTCTCCATTTGAAAATGCATCCCCTTCCCTTCTTACATCTAGAATAAGCTGCGCCACATAATTTTCCTGGAACCGAGTCCTTTTGCCCAAAGCACCTGAAAAAAATATAAAATTATATTCATTGATTTGTCGATCAGACCTACTGTTCAATCATAAAGAGCAATTTTCAGAGTGCTTTAGAGTTTATAAAGTGTTTCTCCATTTCACAAGGAGAAACCTAAGTTTCAGTGATGATTTTAAATGACTTATCCTATATAATAAAGAGCTAATATACTAATTAGACCAGACGGCAGAACAACCATCTGGATGACCTTCCAGGTGAAGCTGGGGCTGCAAGGTCCGAGCTCCTTGCACGAATTTCGTGCATCGGGCCTCTAGTAAAGTTATAAAGCCAATAAGCAATGGGGCCAGAATTCAAACCCAGGATTTCTGCCAATAGATTCCACATCACACTATCAACATCCTCAAAAGAGTAACTCATTAAGTGCCGTAGGGAGAAGAAATGTTATCATCTCCATATGACAGATGAAAACATGGAGGTTCTGAGATACAGTCACTTGCTCAGTATCAGAGCCAGAGCTTAAAGCCAGGTTTTCAGATTCTAAATCCCAGTCTTTCTATCTGGCTTCAGGTGACATCAAACCTTTTTTCATTTTGTAACTGAACTAACTTGCTGCAGAATAGCTTTAAGAGAAGCAAAAGTTCTCACATCCATTTCCTGGTAAGAGTCAGATTACAAAGATCCTTGATAACCAAGGCCAGTCTAAGAAGTCTGGACTTTATTCTGCTATGAGTCTGGCTCTAAGTTATACCTTTTAAACATGTTACACTAAAAACTGTTACTGAGATGGTCTAACACAGCTTACAATATTTATAGTAAGGTTATAGTTGAATAGAAAAAATAATCTGAATCTCCTTTTATATTTGTGAGTACCACATTTGTATTTTTAAGTTCATCACTCTTAACTTGGAAAAAATTGTCAACACTAGGCAGTAAATACATCAACAGTTAAAGGTGACCATACAAGGCACTATGCTATTTTTCAAGTGGTCCAAAAAAAGTCTCCTAAATCCACAATATTCAAAATCATAACCTCTGAAACTAACCTCACAAATTACATTACATATAACTATATTTTCAAACACAGACAAGACTTCAACTTGCACACGGCCATTGTTCCAAAAATTGTAAACTGGATATTTAATAATTTTCCCTACACAAACAGTGATAAAAGATGGCTAGGATCCTAGACAGGCCACAAAGTCATATTTAACTCATAATATACATGAAGGATTTTATTATGTAGCTCAATAAGAAATACAGAGTTTGGAGGCTAAGAATGGACCTTAGAGATAATCTAGACCCAGCCTACGGAGGACATAACAAGTTCAATCATTTCAATACTCACAGATTGGGAGTCACTGTCAGGTATGCTGAGCCCATATTCAACAGGTATAAACAGTGTGTCGAGTGATGATGTCTGACTGCCATTAATGTATTCAATACTGAATGCCAATTACATTGTAAGACACTAGGGACAGAGCGATACATAAAAAGAAACCAATGTTTCTTATTTGGTATTCAGAAGAAACACAGAGGTTTTAGGAGAAATTCTGTAATTTACTTATTCACTCAGCAAATGTTTATTGAGTGCCTACTCTATGCCAGATAGTGTTGTAAGGCACTGAATAAACACCTAATCAACCGTCAAAAATTTGGTCTTAAGGAATACAAAAAAAGCAGGATAGAAACCATAGATGGGCATTTACAAGGAAGGGCAATGTAGGAAGGCCAAACCAAACTTGGGAATCAGGAGGGAGGAGTTGAAAGTTCCTTTGTGTCCTGCCTGGCTTCTATACTACTAGCATGTGTCTAACTAGATTAGGAAATAAATGGGCATCTTCAGGAATAAAAAATATACATAATTTCAAGTTTGTTGTAAAACTATGAATTTTTAAAATAAAATCTTTAAAATCCATTTTTGTAAAGCAAAGAATAGGACATAGAAAATCAAATACAACCAAACAATATAGCTAAATTGCCAATGTATATATTAGTTTTATCAAAAAAATTAATCAATTAGCCACAAAAAATAAGTCTTACCTGTCAAATCAATTTGTAATTTGCTGATGTCTTTAGCAATGCTGAACTGATCTTTTGCTTTTTTATATTCATAATAATATAAAAATATATATGCACATTCCAGATGGAACTGAATAGCCAAATATCGACCTGAATCATCTACAAACAGATGTTCTAGCTTCATCACTACAAGACAAAAGATAAACATGAAAAACTATGATGAGAATAAAATTATATTGAGTAAAATGTTGAGTCCATAATATGTGAAGTATATATTACATTAGCCCTGCTCTTAAAGAATTTTAAATCTGGAAGATAAGGAATTCATATAATAGTTCACAGCTAAAATTTGCTGAGTACTTGTATGTTCCAAGCAGAAAGCTAAAGACACTACATACGTTACCTCCTTTACTCCAAACAATCCTAGAAGATATGATTCATAGCCTGCTCTTTCTTGTTTTAGAGTGCTTGCCTGCACCATATGATTCATAACCCTGTTCTTTCTTGTTTTAGAGTGCTTGTCTGCATCTTGCTATTAAAAAAAAAAATGACAACACAAGGTGTTGATACAAAGTACAAATGAATCTATGAAGAGCTAAACAATACAAAAAGTCTGATGAAGGGATCAGCTTACAATTTCCTCATAAAGAATGTACAATTTCTCCCTTAAAAGAAAGGGAGAGCTCTTCCCAAAAGCAGCCTCATGTGACCTCTGAAAATGGTCCAGTACTCATTTGACCCAGAAAACCCCACAAAATCATGCAAATCAAGAGGTTCAAATGTTCGTGTTCACTTTAAGAACACTCATGAAACTGCCCAGTGCCTTCCTTCAGGGTATGTATATCCAAAAAGCCACCAAATAGCTAAAGGATGTCCCTTTACAGAAGCAATGTGTGCCATGCTGTCCTTACACTGGTGGAGCTGGTGGGGATGCCCAGGCCAAACAGTGGGGCTGGACATAGGATGGTGACCCAAAAAGAGTGCTGAATTTTTGCTGCACATGCTTGAAAATGCAAAGAGTAATGTTGAATTAAGGGTTTGGATGTAGCTTCTCTGGTAATTGAGCACATCCAAGTGAACAAAGCTCCCAAGATGTGGTGCAGAATTTACAGAGCTCATGGGTGGATTAACCTGTACATGAGCTCTCCCTGCCACATGGAGATGATCCTACTGAAAAAGAGCAGACTGTTCCTAAACTAGAAGAAACAGAAGAAACAACTGTAAAATTACCTCTTCCCCACCCTGTATTATAGAGAAGTCCCTTATCAGATATAACATTTGCAAATATTTCCTCCTATCCTGTGAGTTGTCTTTTCACTTTCTTGATCGTATCATTCAAAAGAAAAGCTTTTTTTAATTTTAAAGAAGTCTATAGTCATCACCCTTTAAAGTTAAAAAAAAAAGTCTAAATTATTTTTTTCTTTTGTTACTCAAGCTTTTTTAAAAATATATTTTTATTGATTTCAGAGAGCGAGAGAGAGATATAGAAAAATCAATGATGAGAAAGAATAATTGATTGGCTGCCTCCTGCATGCCCCCTACTGGGGATCGAGCCCACAACCCGGGCATGTGCCCTTGACCCGGGACCCTTCAGTCCGCAGGTCAACACTCTATCCACTGAGCCAAACCAGCCAGGGCATTACTCAAGCTTTTGATGTGGTATCTAAGAATCCATTGCCAAATCTGACGTCATGAAGATTTACCCCTATAGTTTCAGCTCTTATATTCAGGTATCTGACCCATTTTGATTTAACTTTTTGTATATGATGTAAGGTAAGGGTCCAATTTTATTCTTGTGCATGTAATTACCCAGGAGCCCCAACACCATTTGTTGAAAGACTATTCTTTCCCCATTAAAACATTTAATGTGCAGAATAAAGCAAGTAATTATGTTATCATTGTTAGGAACAAGACTTTCAGTTTAAGAAGAGAAGGATACAAGTATCAGTCAAACATAGAAACATTTTGCAAAGTTAATTTTTTTTCAAACTATAAGAGAAAGTTTATTTAGAAAGAAACAGAGGTAGAAGAAGTGAGCTGTAGAAGGAACGGGCTCAGGAAATGAGTTACCCAGGCAAAAAAAGGACCCTTGAAGCTTAGGGGAGGGAGGGAGGGAAGGAGGGAGGGAAGGAGGAAGGGAGGGAGGGAAGCCTTGAGAGACAGAGAGACCTTGAGAGATGAGAGGAGGAGGAAAGGCTTGGGATGAGCAGATATTTAGCAATCCTTTGATGGCTATCACCACCAAGATGGAAATCCAATGTCCTAGTGATCCAAGGTCTAGTTCAACCTGACACACAACCCCTCACATCTGCTCCTGCAATTCCCAAACACAGACATTCCAAGTCTCTCTGCCTCTCTTTGTACATATTGTATACCCTGTCCAACTTCTCCACCTAATAAATTCTCACTGGTTCTTAAAAAGTCAGTTCAAACATCAAACACTTTGTGAAGCCTTCGCTGATCTCTCAAGTTTAGACTAATCACATCCTTTCCTTCATTCCTTCCTCTTTATGCCTTTTTCTTCCTATATTCTAGCACCTATCCCAGTGAGTTCACTGACATCCCCAGCATCTAGCACAGTGACTGCAACACAGCAAGCATTAAAAAAATACATATGTATTTTTACTAAATATCAAATATGGCAGGCAACAGAAAGGCATGAATAAAACTGGAAATAATTGAAGATTTTTCCTATTAAAAAAGTGGCATGATGAAATTGCTATTTAGGAAAACCAATCCAGTACTGATGTATAGGGACAAGGAACAAAGGGCGAAAAAGAGCCTACAGGGAAGGTGCAATCTTTCGGACATGAAGTAATAATGATAGTGGCCTTAAGTAACTGGAGGGCTGGCCATGCAGGACTAGACCTATCCCACCATCTCCGTTGCTCCACAGCAGTGCAGTTCACTAAGTCATTGGTGATGACGTAAGTATTTTATAGCTGCACTTTCCAAAATGATAGCCATTAGCGCCACCTGCTCTCTGAGCACTTGAAATGTGGCTAGTGAAACTGAGGAACTCAAGTCTTTAATTCATTTATTTCACTTGATTTTATTTTAAATAGTCACGTGTGGCTAGTAGCCACTATACTGGACAGGAGCTCTAGCTAGCAATTGTGGCAAAATAGCAGATATTTTAAATTAATAAAAGGGGAGAGACCAAGATGGCGGCATAGGTAAACACCGGAGACTGCTGCCGCAAACAACCACTTCAAAAATACAACTAAAAGACGGAACGGACATCACCCAGAACCACAGGATGGCTGGCTGAGGAGAGACTCTTCAACTAGAAGGAAAAATAACAGCACACCGAGGCTCAGAGGAGGCGCAGTGTGGAAAAAACTCAGGTGCGGAGGTGCGCGCGCAAAGCGGGCTGGTGGCTGAGAGCGCGGTTGTCGTTTTCGGTCAGGGGGGAGTCTCAGACTCTGAGCTCCAGATACGGGCGAATCGCTGGGGACTCGGACCCAAACGGGAGAAGCGGGAGTGTCTGGCATCAGTTGGAAGGCAGCTTTCCCTCCGAGGTTTGCAGCGGTTCCGGGGGTTCTGAGAAGCAGAGCCTCTGGGAACGGGACTGAGAGGGGCCATAACCGCTCCCTCCGCCCGCCCGCCCTGTTGAGCCCGCCCCGCCCAAGCCCTGCGCAGAGCCATTTGCCAGATCGCCTCAGGCAAAGGCTAGATTAGCACCTCCCCAGAGGACAGAAGTTTTCCGCGGCAGACACAGCTGATTCACACAGCCAGTCGGCCTGGTGGTCAAATCCCTCTAGTATTAACTACAACAATCAAGGCTCAACTAGAACAAGACTGCGCACAAAGACCACTAGGGGGTGCACCAAGAAAGCATAAAAAATGCGGAGACAAAAAAACATGACAGAAATGGAGGATATAGAGCTAAAAAACGCAATTTTGAGGGCTTGCAATAAACTTTTGGAGAGCCTCACGAAAACTAATGAGACCCTCGATGCTATGATAAAGAAACTAGAAATTAAGCATACACGCTCTGAAATAAAGAATATTACACCCAATAGCAGACCAGAGGAGCGCAAGAATCAAGCCAAAGATTTGAAATGCGAAGAAGCAAAAAACACCCAACCGGAAAAGCAAAATGAAAAAAGAATCCGAAAATACGAAGATAGTGTAAGGAGCCTCTGGGACAGCTTCAAGCGTACCAACATCAGAATAATAGGGGTGCCAGAAGATGAGAGACAGCAAGATATTGAAAACCTATTTGAAGAAATAATGGCAGAAAACTTCCCCCACCTGGTGAAAGAAATGGACTTACAGGTCCAAGAAGCGCAGAGAACCCCAAACAAAAGGAATCCAAAGAGGACCACACCAAGACACATCATAATTAAAATGCCAAGAGCAAAAGACAAAGAGAGAATCTTAAAAGCAGCAAGAGAAAGAGACTCAATTACCTACAAGGGAATACCCATACGACTGTCAGCTGATTTCTCAACAGAAACTTGGCAGGCCAGAAGGGAATGGCAAGAAATATTCAAAGTGCTGAATACCAAGAACCTACAACCAAGAATACTTTATCCAGCAAAGCTATCATTCAGAATTGAAGGTCAGATAAAGAGCTTCACAGATAAGGAAAAGCTAAAGGAGTTCATCACCACTAAACCAGTATTATACGAAATGCTGAAAGGTATCCTTTAAGAAGAGGAAGAAGAAAAAGGTAAAGATACAAATTGTGAACAACAAACATGCATCTATCAACAAGTGAATCTAAGAACCAAGTGAATAAATAATCTGATGTACAGAATGAACTGGTGATTATAATGAATCAGGGACATAGAAAGGGAATGGACTGACTATTCTTGGGGGGGAAAGGGGAATGGGAGATGCGGGAAGAAACTGGACAAAAATCGTGCACCTATGGATGAGGACAGTGGGTGGGGAGTGAGGGCGGAGGGTGGGGTGGGAACTGGGAGGAGGGGAGTTATGGGGGGGAAAAAAAGAGGAACAAATGTAACCTGAACAATAAAGATTTAATTAAAAAAAATAAATAAATTAATTAATTAATAAAAGGAAGCACTTTGTAGCAATTATTGATCCTAAAAATGGAGTGGACTCCCTCTCAAGAGTCATCTTGGAAAGTGCCCAAGAAAAGAGGAGATGACTTTTTTGATACAATTTTCCAACAGATTACAGCATTAGGATAGGTAGAATGATGGCCTACAAAG